CAAACCAAATATTCTTTTATATTTTTAAATTTTAAACTTAATAAATGCCTTTATCGATAGAGTTGGGATGAGATGATGTGATGACGTCACCCTCACCACATACGTCATTACTGTGCATTTAAAGACACACATCACGACTAAATTCAACATTTAATTTTGTATGTTCATCTGATAGTTAACATTCTATAACATTTTAAATTATATACACGTATACATATTGCCAATATTTTTAAATAGATAATTATGGTCGAAATAACGGTGATAGTAATTAAAGTAACCCTATTCAACACAATATAGAGAGATACTTGGTAGTCGAAATGCAATCAAATCTTGTATATCACTACATGCGGAAAACATTTACATAAAAATTAGTTTTAAAATTTTACACTATGGCATTTTTGGCGCTGTAAGCAAGAAGAATTTTATTTGTAAATACATTCGTGTTACGAGTATACAGCGACTTTAGCAATGCAGGAGACCCTGAACGTACGATACGTACAGTACAGTAGACTGTAAATGAAGGTGTAAATGAATAGTATATTCAACCGGCGATCGTAATTATTCCTGTATCGTCATACAGGAATAATTATTCTTCCTGTAGTCAGATTTTAAACTTTTTACTATTACGTCAAATGGTTGCAGAATTCCCGCGCAATTTGCTGGAAAGAATTGTATTTCCGTGTGCTCAAATTGACTGTCTAACGACAGGGTGCATCATCAATTAATTAATAGCAAAACACTATGAGTTTTATTTATAAGCTGAGGGAGATAGAGGTTACCTGTAGCCTGCTGAAGGCTGTTTAGTTAGGGAATTCATTAGCCTGTGGGAGGTGGCGACTTCAAATATACAGTAAGAGGCGGGACAATTTCTGAGTCGTTTTCTTGAATAAAAGTTGAATCTTAAGTGCTATAAAATATGGTAATTAAGTTCACTGTTGATTACATAATCAGAGTGAATTCTTCGATAATTCTCAAACAAATAAAAGTGTTTCATAATTTCTTTTACAGTCGCTAGATGGAAGCACATGCACATTCCTTTAGGTTCTCACTTTTACTTTCCCTGTTGTTGTATGTAACAGAGAGAAAGTATGGCGATTAATCAAAAAATGAACCCCTAAGCTTTTTCATTTTTGAACTCGGGGACTTTAAAACGCTGAAAAATGTAAAAAATTTAAGATTTTTTCCTGTTGTATGGAGGTTAGTATGCGGGGGGATGAAGATTTTACTCAGCCAGTTTGAAGCTTAATAACTCCTGTCTTTTCTCGAAAATTTCTAAAATTTTGCAGGGAGGTTTATGTAATAGAGGAATCGACACTGTTAAATTTTGGCGGTTAAAAGCCGAAGGAGTGCAGAGATAGAAGGAGGTTACGTGTCATATCTCGTCAATTTATATTATTGTTTTAAACTTTGCATAATTACTAAATTAATAAGCTGATATTATTTAAAATGATCTAAATATAAATTACTGGATTAAACTTAAAGAAAACACAATTTCCTTCCGAATACTGACAAGTAACTAGTAGAACTTTGGAACTAATTTAAAGAAACTTTCATTTTCTAGAAGATTTGTAGTGTGTAGTCGATAAACTTTCAATAGAAAGTCTTATTAAAAAGATGTCTGTTGGAGAAACTTCTATGATTTTTTTGATGTAGAAGATATTTATTAGAAATTGTGAAAGATCTCGAAAAATACGGGTTGTAAGTTGTTTCAATTAACTTAATAATCTGTCGTTATATTAACAATCATTAGAATAAAAAACATAATAAATTTCTTTAGTAAAAGTAGCAAAAAAATCATGAAATACTGTATAACAAACGATAGTCATTTTTACTGAATATTTTACGATCTGATAGGTGAAATACAATTCAGCATTGTAATTCGATGATACCTCTGGTGTATAGTTTGACAGAAATATGTATATTGATGAGAGAGATGATGGAATTTATGATCTGAAGAAACAAATTTATAGAGACGGGCACGTTACAAAGTAAATTTAGATGGAAAGATATTAAAAAATGTTTCGATGATGTATTAAAGGTATGATGCTATAATGATTAATATTCGGAAGGTAGACACTTTGATGCGCTTACTGTATTTTAAATAAATATTTAAAATATTTTGAAGAAGAATTTTAAATTATGAATTAATAAATAAAGATGTCTAAAGTAAAAACGTACATTTAAGTAAAAGTCTTATCATTTTCAATGTTTACAGATGACAACTTTCATGTTTTTAATTTGTAACTTATCAGAAAATGTTAAGATGAAACTTTATTAAGAGAGAAAATGTAAGGGAAGTTAATAATGCATATCAATCAACTTTTACTTATCGATTTGATAATTTTATTCCGATTAAACACCGAAGTTCAGTCTTTGAAGTTTTTAATTATAACTAAAAGCGATGTCAACGTAGCCTATATCTTAGTCTATAAATAACTAGCAGGTAAGCTTGGCATTTCCTGGGCAAAAAATAAGTACAAACATTAAGAGTTTTACATTTTTTCGTACTTCCAACCCATTATATTACATTATAGTATTTTGTTTATATAACTACAAAGGTTTGTCACACCAAGTGACCAAAGTGTTACTAACGTGAAGAAAACCCAGAAAACTCCACGTGGTTAGTCTGTTGACCAGGCGCGAACCCACGTGTACCGGTGTTCAGTGGTTTTATAGACTCGGTTATTGGAGGGTACTTATCGGGCTGCCATTCATTAAGCTGCAATTTGAAAAAACTGTTGATCTATCGATTGCCACTGTCATCTGTCTGTCTATCTGTCCTTCCTTAATCTGTAGAACGGAGTTAGATAGGTTAACATCGAGGTGATACGCAGGAAGCATAATAGCAGGAGACCCAGGTAAACTTGTAGGAACCTCTGGTATTTACCGGAAATTATGTTATTTCAATTCAAAAATTTTTCCCTGAGCGGAGTTAGATATGTAACCAACACCATTCTATTGCTAACAGGAAAAGTATGATATACGGGGCAAAACACTACACCACTCAGTGCAAGCAAGTGCAAGCTATGGGCTACCCGTCGCATATATTTTGTGCTATATCATTGTCACAGTAATTCGGCGAATATAATATATATATATATATATATTTTAAAATGATGTCTTTTTTGTAGAAATTATATATAGTTTTATTATTTTTTTAAAATATTTTGCCAATAGATGGCGCTTCGTGAATAGACAACAAATGAATGTAGATAAATTAATTTATATATAGAAATCCAATCGATATTTTGAGGTGAAATGTACGACGTTATCTAAGTTAGAAGTATGTAAACGTAACTGTCGAGTGCATAGCGAACAAACAAACAAATAAACATCCTCATTTATATATATAGGCTTATATATAGGCCTATGTATAGATTAACTTGTGTTTCTGTTAATTAACATTTTAAAAATAAAATATATTAATATAAATGTTATATTTTATATTTACAGTAAAGTTAAAAGCATAATTTGTTTTTGAAAGTTGATTTATTTATTAAAAACGTACTTAGAACTCTACTTAGAAGTTATCAATAAGTAAAGAACATGTATAAATCTAGACAATAATAAATAAGGTTTTTAATCGATTTAATAAATTATTGCTTGTATAACAAAATAAAACAAATAAAATAAAGCAATAGATTTAAACATTAAGAAAACCTTGTATTTGACATAAGAGAAAAGTACTTGCAAGTATTTTAAATTTACGATTTAGTCTACATCAGGGGTGTCCAACCCGCGGCCCACGGCAAGATCCAATGCGGCCCAATAAACGTGCAAACAAAACCGACAAATTGTTTTATTTTATTTATTTTTTTCAACGGCATAAACTCAAAAAAGAAGTTTCACAAAGCCGTAAACTTTTATACATATTTTATTTTCGAGTGAAAAGGAAATATTTTCAAATACTTGGAAATGTGTGAATGACGAAGGAATACTATATAAAGCTGGAGTTGTGATTCAAAGGATTATAGACCCAAACTTGAGAAAAGAAGAGAAAGGCCAAAAGATAAAAAGTAGTGAGAAAGGTTAAATAGACCTTCTGTTATGCAAATATTGACCCTTAATTTTCCAACCTTCCTTACTACGTTTTATCTTTTGGCCTTTTTCTTCTTTTCTCAAATTTGGGTCTATAATCCTTTGAGTTCGAACTCCAGCATTATTTAGTATTCCTTCCAGCATTGCAAGATTTGGCTATACTTTTTTAGTTTGGCGTAAAAATTATCATTTGGCGCATTGATTACTTATGGGCTGCATATTATTTATAAATATATTAGTCGAATAAAAATGCACTTTAAAATGGTGTTTCGTCGTTGTTTTATTAATTAAAGACCCAAATAAAACAAATATTTGTGTTTTTCAAATAAATTTTTGTTTGACTTCTTTATAATAAATGAATTTATCTATTTCTAAGTAAAAATTGAAAGTGTCTGTAGAAGTAATTTTTTAAAATATCCTTTTTCGTAATAAAGTTTTAATCGTTATTACTATAATCTAGACATGTTAATCCTTAAATATACTTGTATATTTAAGGATTAGGTCGCAAATATATTATATACTGTAAGGTCTCGTTTTATGCGGTGGATACGTTCTACAGAAAAGCGCATATAAAAAATCCGCATAAAAAGAGACCTTACAGTATACTTATGGCCCAAAACGCCATGACTCCTTCCAATGTGGCCCAGAGGAACAAAAAGGTTGGACACCCCTGGTCTACATCTTAGGCACATAATACTATGCAAATGTAGTTATAATTATTATTTTAGGATGTAGCACCTACTGAAGGGCCTATGCTAAAGAACGAAAGAGAGTGATGGGAAAGAACGAAAATAAAAAAGGAGAGAGTAAAGAGATAAAAAAAAGGAAGATCGTGTAAGGATGAAAAAGAGGATAAGATGAGAGAAGGCACCAGTAAGTTACTGAATGGTTATATTAAAGGAGTAAGTATGAAAAATAAAAGGTATTTGTTGAAAAGTATTAACTATAATGCATAAATATATTTATTTTATTTACATAGACATCGTTAATAAAATAATTTTTTAAGACGACGAAGAAATATAGGCCTTTCCGTTCAACTCGTAACACTTTCTCCGTCTGCTTGCAATCCGACTAACCAATAAGTATTCATTTTTCCTTTCCCCTGTAAAACGTTACATTTGTTATTACGCAACTTTTTATAATCATAATTTATGCAAATTCGGCGAAATGGCGGCGCGACGAGACGTTAGCCATCCGTGGCGTGGATCCGGATTCGAATTCGATCGTGGCGAATTCGATCGCACCATTCGTGGCGAGTAGCGAGGATCGGAGCTTATCCGCGTTAATAGACCCCATCGTCTTCCGTAATGGTCTTGAATCGGCGCCCGACGCTAATTAATTAATCAATTTGTGCCAAACTTACCTTAACGTCGATGGTGCCTCTAAATTCCCATTTATACGCACTTCCTACCAACTGCTTCTGACAGGGTTCGCTGATATGTATTTTCCCCGCCTAAACACAATTTATATGTGAAAATTAATTTCCAATTACTCCAATTCTGCAAAATGTTCGCCTACCTTTCCGTGACTTTGCATTCTGGCAGCGGTATTCACGGTGTCGCCAAATAAACAATATCTCAACATCTTCCTTCCCACTACTCCGGCTGCAACGGGTCCGGTATGCATCCCTATAATAGATATCGAAGAAACTTGTAGGCGCTACAAAGTTTTATTTTGCAAATGTTTTAAAACGGTACGTACCTATCCTCACCATAACTTTCTGCTCTCCGTATCTACCTTCCATCTTCTCTACTTCTCGTAATATACTCAGAGCCGCTCCAGCAACATTCTGAGCGTGATCGGGCCTCCTCTCGGGCGCACCACTGACTAACATGTACACTTGACCTACCGTTTCTACCTGAAAGAAGTGTTTTATTTAAATATTCTAGAAAATTTGGGCGTATATTTGAGCAATCTTTTAGTTTTTACCTTATATACAAGATGATGATCGATCACTCGATCGCACAGGGTGTAAACGTCGTTGACGCATTGAACCGCTTGCATTGCCGTAAGTTGGGCGCACAAATCACCAAAATCAACGACTTCGCTAAATAAAACTGTCACTTCGTCGAATGACTAAGAAAAAAAACAGCAAAAATATCGGTATAGACACATTTTATCGTAGAATTTGCTGTAGAAATAAGTAAAATAATCGAAAATATGTGTATGAATGTCTTTACTTCGACAAGTGAAAGAATAATTCTCGCGCTCTTCTTCCATCACAGAAGAAAACAAATAAAACAACTTAAAACTTGGTAAAAATCAGTAAATTAATCCATTAAAAACTTACTTTGATTTAATATTTCCAATTTAAAATTATTAACTTTAAAAAATGTTCTACAAAACATGAATCATTTTTTACAATAAATTTAAGGTCATTCGATGTACTTTTCAAGCGAATTTGCATTGCATTTACTGTTTTAAGGGTGAAAAAAAGGCAAAAATGTAGATAATGAGATCTAGAAAGTGGGTAAACACATTACTCCGAGAAATGTTTGCATCTGGCAATAAGATGTCGGAGAGAATTGTTAATGGAGGTTGACTTCACTGCAATAATTAATTTATGTAAAAGTAGCATTTAGACAGAATAGAACTTATTTCCTTCCACGCATCTTCTCCGAATAAAACAGAGGGTGGCCCAAAAGTCAATTAATCATCGCAAACGTTAAATTACCGTATAATTCAAATATTTTATTGCTTACAAATTTAGCGAAAGTTATTAAAAAATGAGATCCCGCTCGTTCGAGATGCCATTTTCTTGAAAAATAATACATTTACCTAACTTTTATATATAACGTTTTTATTAATTTATTCATATCATTTCAGCATAATATTAAACCGAGATGCGCAAAATATCGACTTTTCGGGTGTTAGAACTACGTACTACTCGCGGGTAAAGTAAATATTTAAATGGAACTACGATCGTGACGAAGAATGCGGTATGTAAAGATGTATTTTCTGGCCAAAAATTATTATCTAGTATAAAAATTCGTACGTATCCAAAAAAAGTATTTTTAAANAATTTGTTTTGATAAAATTGTCTTGTACAGATCTATTGTTACGGAAGGCGTAAAAACAGAATTGGAAGTTTTCAGGATTTACAAGTAGAGCTTCAGCTTACTCGAAGTTGAAACAAAGCTATCTGCCTCAAATTTGGTGGCAGCCCACTGCACTGGGGGGATCCGAGATCGAATCCGGACGGGTCAAGGGATCTCCAGGTAATTTCGGAGTGTGGTCCGTTCGGATATGTCGTGTCCCAAAAGTTTTAGAAGCCTCACGACACGATAGGAGAATCTTGGAATTTGTGTTAGACGAACACTTTAAAGATAGAGATTTCTAATGAAACAATTAAACCATTGTTTACTTATCCACATGAAAGCCAGTAAGTCATGATATTAATCCTTATCATGTGTGTAAGGGGTCAAAATGATCCTACTGACGCATTTTCGTCGTAACTTTACATATGCAACAATGCTTCACATGCCTTTTATGCCCTTCTAGTCAGTGTGTGTGTTTTGATTTAGCCTGCTCTTAGATTGGAAGTGGGGCTTTGGGTCATCTTGATTCATACCACACTAATAGTACAGGCTAACCATTCTTCCACAACTCTGCCACTTGATTTTCATTCGATTGTTGATACTTGACACCTACAATAGTAATGGAGGGGAGAAGACTGACAGATGACGAGATAGAGAAACAGTTAGAGAAGTTTTTAACATCTGCAGACTCAGGAGATCGTCGATTGCTAATCCGAAGAACAAAGTGACTGTGATGATAGTTACAAGGAGACAACAATGGGATAATAATAATGCATAGAAACTAGTAAAATGCTTTACATATATTACAGAATAATAAGCAGGTGGTATCCTGGTATGACAATTTAATGGTTGGGTCAGTAAGTCCCACATCATTCCAGAAATGCGACAGACCAGTACCATACACGTTAAGGGAGTGCCAGATTACGAGTATTGCTAAATTATTACTCAGTTTAAAGTATGTTTACACCATATAAATTGTGCATTTGACACAAGTTCCGAATATAACATTTAGTATACATCAGTTATCTTGCTGACTAAACTCTAATCGTTTAATATTTCATGATATTTATAATTGGTTTAACTGGGTTAAGTGAAATTTACATCTAATAAATATACATAAAATTATATAATTCAACATATTTTTAATATTATATAGTTTTAATTAAAAATATATAATAAATATTAATTTATTATAGTATATCAAGAAATAGGTTGACTTCTCCAAAACCCTCAACAGATTATCATCTTCATTACAATTTAATTTTATTCAGTGCTTCCTAATTAAGTTAAAACTATTTATAATTAATTTTTCTATTAAATAATTATTTTTAATATTTAAAAAGAAGAAAATTCATATAAATGATTTCAAATGTACTTGATTAAAATGATTTTTCTAAGCGAAAGATTTCATTCAGAAACACTTTTAATAAATAAATAAAATATACAGTTGAACCTTCAATAAAGGCCAACCTCTAAATTGTGGCAATTTTTTCAGGAATTTTTTAAAACAGAAATGTATACGAGATAACCTCAAAACAGCCATTTTGTTATCATCCGTGGCCGTTGTTCAGAGGTTTGACTATATTTTGTTCCGTAAACTACAATATATTAAATGTTCTAAAATATTTCGAAACAATTTTCTTTTTATTAAAAGCCTTAAATTATTTATAAACATATAAGAAAAAGTGTATTAATTTAAATATAATATAATTATTTTCACACATATTTACAAAGTTTTGCAATTTAAATAATTCTTTTGTCAGAAATTTACATGTAAAATCCCTGATGATCTTATCAAATATAATCACACATATTAACTGAATTTTATTCTTTACTTAACTTAATTCAAATTTGCATTTAAACTATTTTTTTTTTAGGTGAGGAAACACGTTTTAATTTAAATAGAAATTCATATATCACCTCTGTTTAACGTTACAAAAAGTGTTGAGTTAGTTTCGCTCCATTATAAAGTACAAAAGTGGCAAGTTCCTTTTAAGAGAAAGTTAAAGATAAAATTAAGTAACTTACTTCAGCCCAATAACTGTAAATTATTGAAGATTTATAGAGTTTTATTGTCTGTCTATATGTCCTTCGTTAAACTCGAATTAGATAGATGAAAATTAAGTTTTTATTTAAAAATGATGTAATGTAATAATGCTTCAATAATAAAACATTAAAATTTTAAGAGAAACCAGGCACTTTTAACACTTCATTGTGTTTTACTGTACAAAAAGGACTTCAGATGCATTTAAGGATTTTTAACACCACCTTAGCCGATAGCACTTATTGAACATCTTAACATAAGGATCTGTTGTAAATCCTTATAATGAGATGTAGAACTAGAGGAATATTAAGTATGGCTGGCTGAGAAGAGGATAAACATCCTTAAATGCATTCCAAGTACGTGTTTTACAGTAAATCCAATAAAGTGTCACATAATGTCTATACGTCTGTTTCATACATCACCAAGTATATTTTAAAAAATTAATAAGTTTATAACGCGATATTTTAATTGCTATTTTAAAAATCAAATTGTTGACGTGTACAATGTTAATTGACGTGTAATATTTTCTGATATGATATACAGGTAACCCCCGTATAACACGGCACTTCTATAGCACGGATTCGCTCTGACACGGTTCGAGAATTGGATAAAACCCTCGTACAACAGGAAATGTAATACATTTTTACATACTTAAGTACTAATAGTTCACGAAAATTATTATTTTCGTGAACTGTTAGTACTTAAGTATGTAAATTTTCTCTTCTCGCCTTCTGTCGATACAGGTGGTCCTTCTCGAAACTTGTTTCAATGTTGCCAGATCGCGACGCTTCTGCTTCTGATGTTGCCGAATGTTTTTTCCCTTATTCCATACTTGCTTTATTCTTCATAAGTGCTTAGCACCATATAAGGAAATTTATAAAGACCTTTTAACTAGAAGCAAGCAATCTAAAATTACATACATTTTGCAAAAGGTAAAGCATGGATCTGAAGATAATGCAAAAAAAATGCTCAGAGGATAAGGATAACTTGCCAAAAAGAAAACGCTCTCGGTTAATTAATAGTGTTTTTAGTGATGACGAAGAAAATATTGTTTAATTTATATTAATATGTATCACTTAAAAAAATTTTAATGAAGATATTTATCTTAATTATGAAAATATACTAGCATGTTTTTTAATTTTTGGAACCTAACCCTCCTTTTCGTATTAGTTCTTTGTTTCGTATAACACAGATTCGCATAACACGGCAATTTTTTGGAACGTAACTACCGTGTTATACGGGGGTTACCTGTACCTGTAAATATAAAATAAATATAGGCTACTTAATAATTTTATTAAAGAAGATATTAATATTACTTTGCAAGGAAAATGAAGTAGTTAGTAAAACGATAAATTGGAAGTAATAAAGCAAAAGCGTTTTAGAAAAATCGTAAATAAGTTAACTTAATATGTACTATTTGTAGATTTCCGCGAATTTTCTAAATTTTTTACATCATGTGATAAATAATTTTTTTTTAATCGATTCCTATATTAGCAATCGATTTTGACAAAATTCGATTTTTCATACGCTATTATATTTATCTGATATTTTTGTTAACAGTTCAGTTTATTGCATGGAATTCTCAAGAGAATATCGTAAATATGTTATTAATGAGGCTTATATAAACATACAATGCTTCATTATACATGGTCGGTTATTAGATACAAAATCATCATTAGACTATTTTTTAAACTATTTATGAAAAGTATTTAAGAGTTTATATGCACATTTAAGGACGAGAAGTTTCGTTTATTTTTACGAATATATTTTTAAAATTTTCTTCGTGAATTTTGAATAATAGACAGTCAAATATCCCTTTTATAGACTAAGTATTACTGTAAAGTAAGAATTATTCATTTTTTAAAGTTGGTAAATAGTCATTGATGAGAATAGTTTGGTTTGATAAACATTTGATTTGATTAATTTAGCCTAATTGTTCAAAAATTTTGTGACTATTCATAGATTCCCGTGTTGCCATTTCCCCCATAATAAAAATATTTTTTGCAACATTTTATAGAATTTTTTAAATTAAAAATTGTTAATTTAGAATTATATTCAATATGGCAATAAAGCATTTCTTTATCTAATATTTATCAAAATTTACACATGAAAAGTTATCGAAAGTTGTATGTAATATAAATTAATTAATAGACTCATTTTTATTTTAAAAAAATGACATTTTAGTGACAATTTATTTGGTAAAACAAAGTTTTGCCAAATAAATGTTTTGGTTATAAATCTTAGGTTATAAATAATAAATTTGTCAATTTAAATGGATATCATCTTTTAAGAAGGATATATCATAAAAAAGACGTAGAAATTAAAGCATTTACAATATTTTTAAATAAAATTAACTGTTACTATAGTGATAAGTTATCATTTATTAAGATGAGTGTCCTATTTATGTCTTTATTTAGCAATTAGAGTTCAAATCTTTAAAGAATTTGCATACGTCACAACTCCATAATGAGTCTAAATCTTTTTCGATAATTTCAAACAAAATATTTATTAATTCTTTCATATTTTATACAAAAATATACGCACGCAGCTCACAATTAATAATGGTATTCATCGATCACTTTCGGAGATTTTCATTAATTTCCATTATGTTTGCCATTTGGAATGGTTTGAGAATGAATTGAAGGAAATATACAAATCACATTGAAAAAGTTCTTTTGTTCCTCTACACTAGTAGGAGTAGACTGACATACAATCTTTCCTTTTCCGTAAAAATCTGTAAACCTTCCATCGATAATCCATTATTTCCAATTCAAAACTATCGCATACTCCCGTTTCTTTTAGTTTCTTTCTAAACGAATTTTTTTTTTCCCAATTCTAAACTGATCTTTTCAATTTTCTGATCGACTCTTTTCATATCTCTTGTTTGTACTCCAAATTCCGATCTCGTAAATAGAGATTAATCGATCTCTTCGGATTGACGATGTCGAATCGGATGAGAATTTGCAAATTTCTACTTGGAAAATTCCTTCTTTATGTTGAATGATCGAACCATTCCAGAATTTCCGAGACGAATTCATTTGAAAATCATTTCATCAATTTTCCACACTTTTGATGATGTATTTGTCAATGAAAATCATTGAAGCCTGTGGAATTCTTATGAGGAGTTAGAAATGAGGAAGCATTCCTGTCTCATTTGGATACCATTTTCGTTTCTAAGATGGAATTTATGTTTTCTATTTTCCACTCAATGGAAGATCTTCGAGACAATTCCAAACTAATGAAATTGTAAGAGAGATTGAAAAATCCTTCTTTTCAACCATAATTCTCCATTGTTCTATTCCTTCTTCTCTGCCTGTTGTTTCTTGTGAAAACATTGAGCTATTAGTCGAATGATAAAAGTCGTTTTCGATTACCAAAACGCAACTCAACAAATAATTAGTAGACCATAAAAATACACTTTAAGTTGCAGAGATAATTTATTAAAACTAAACTAACCTTTTCTAATCTTCAGGTTAAACGAGAAGATTAGAACATTGGTGTTCCAAAATAGAATATATAAATTTAAATACAAGAAAATAATAGAAAATAAGAAAAAAAACAGACTATTAAATGTGTATAAAAATAAAATTGAACTCCTAGATTATGCCTTAGTTTACAATTTCATTGGTAAATTGTTGGTAAAGCTAGAAAACCATGACATTTAGGAACAAAGTTCGGTGAATGGAGTGTTAAATCGGTATCATATGACATTATTCATATTTCGAAAGCCAAGTTCCGGTGAAAATGATTGTGCTGACAGCTCACAATTCCATCAAAAAATAATCAAAGTCATTTCCAAAAATTGCAGTATGTCAGTGAGAGATGTCGCAAAATACTGCGAAACTGATTAAAAGGACTAAGCGGCGAACAAGCACAAAATATAAACAAAAACTACTTACGTTACTGAAAAATCAAAAGAAGGTAATTAAAACTAGAGCTCAATTCTTTAATTGGCAAGAAGAATGCTCGTTTATTTTTACACGACGAAAATTACGCGAAGGCAAACTTCTCGACACTTCCGGTCTCGCGCTATTATACAGCGTTTTAAGAAGTTCTTCCGGAATCTCAATCATTCATCGGTGCCGAAAAGTTTGGCTCGAAATATCTGCTACAGCAAGAAATTTGCCAGTGTGCATTGAAAAATTCGTCGTTTGTAACAAATGGAAATATTGGGTGCTGAAATTTGTATTAATGAATGTTTAAAAAGATTTTTAAAAATTTACCATGGCCATACTTTATTTTGGCCAGATTTGGCAACAATACGCTATGCAAAATCCACAATAGGNAGCTCACAATTCCATCAAAAAATAATCAAAGTCATTTCCAAAAATTGCAGTATGTCAGTGAGAGATGTCGCAAAATACTGCGAAACTGATTAAAATTTGCTAGTGTGCATTGAAAAATTCGTCGTTTGTAACAAATGGAAATATTGGGTGCTGAAATTTCTATTAATGAATGTTTAAAAAGATTTTTAAAAATTTACCATGGCCATACTTTATTTTGGCCAGATTTGGCAACAATACGCTATGCAAAATCCACAATAGGTTTGTTGGAATAACACGGAATCCATTTTGTACCTAAAGACACAAATCCAACAAAAGCACTACAGTGCCAAACCATAGAATTTGGTCTCTTGTAAAAAAATAAACTAAAAAAAACAACAGCAAAGATTTCAATTAAAGATTTCAAACGTCTTCCGAAAATAAATAAAACAAATATTTAAAATTAAAACACATATCAATTAAATTTACGTGTTAATGTAGTTTCTGGTGATTGCACGCACGCAACACGACGTGCCAGCGAATGGCGCGGAATGATCAACTCTGTCTTAAGACCGGTTTCGGGTAGAATATTATTAATAAAAAATAAGGATAAGTTTAGATTAGAATTGAAATACAAATAGTAAAGGAATGTCGATTAGGGTTGTAAGTAAACAGTGTTTACAACCTGACAAAACCTGTTTCTGTTTATTTAAATTTTGAAGCCATAAGGAAACTTATTTCCGAAACAAAAGAAAAACAATGCTTTTCTCAAGAGTCGCACTCTTTAGAAAGCTTGAATGTTTTTAATTGTTTAAAAAGGTGTGAAGAATTCTCATCATCCTGTCATTCTTTATCTCCTTTGCTTTCTTTCACACTTTCACTTCTCACATCTTGTAATTATTTCTCGCTTCTGTTTACTTCTCCTGTTTCGTCTACAGAAGCGCACGTAGGAACTACGTCACTCCCACAGTTATTTTCGTCAGTGACGTAATTGTCTTTTCCAAAACATCCACACACTGTTCTATAACTAGAAAAACCTTCGAATCCTTGACCTTCCAAATTTTCCATAGTTTGTTCTTCTGAAATCTACAATAGAAACTTTATATAAGAAATAATTTCCAGGCCCTTAGTCAATGTATTCTATTTTTTAGCGGCCAATTAAGTTTGCTGAAAACAACTTCTTTGTATACAAATCACATTCAAGAAATTCAAAATTTAGGTTTTCAAATAGAAATTCTATTTTGAAATTGGGCGAATTTGTTTTGATAAAATTGTCTTGTACAGATCTATTGTTACGGAAGGCGTAAAAACAGAATTGGAAGTTTTCAGGATTTACAAGTAGAGCTTCAGCTTACTCGAAGTTGAAACAAAGCTATCTGCCTCAAATTTGGTGGCAGCCCACTGCACTGGGGGGATCCGAGATCGAATCCGGACGGGTCAAGGGATCTCCAGGTAATTTCGGAGTGTGGTCCGTTCGGATATGTCGTGTCCCGCCCTTCACCACCCGGTCGCTCCATTGTGGGCCTCCCCGAACCCATAATGGGCTTGCTATAAGAGGCCTCCTAGTGCCCACAGGACGGAAAGAGTATTTAAAAAACCTCTTAATGGAGCGATAAATTCCTAATGCAAAGTACGCAAAAGAAAGCTGCGTGAATGAACTTCACAAATTTTTGTAAAAACAGAAAAGGAAACAAAAAGTAACGAGCAATGCCAGGCTGCAATTTTTAATCACAATTTTTAGTTATTAGCTTAAAATATATGCTCTCCATCTTAAATTACTAGTGTCTTTCCCGTGTATATCATACTTTTCCGTTAGTAATGGTGTGGTGCCTGTTATCTAACACCTTTCAGGAAAAAATTATTAATCGAAATAACGTGTTTTCCGCTTTTCGTCGGAAGTTCGTATATAGTTAATCAGGACCGCCTGTTAACTATATACGTAACATATAACATACGTAACATATATATAACAGTTGAAATCCGAGACCATAAATGTTTCCATTTATGGTCTCGGATTTCAACTGTCTAATTTGTTCCCGAGATTAAAGAAAGACGGACAGAAGGCAGCGATCTAAAGAAGTGTAATGACCAGAGTTTTCCGAATATTTTAATCTAAAATTTCTCCATAAAAAGTCGCACTAAAATTTATAATCAGAATCAAAATATTGATATAATGAATTTACCTTGGATAAACTTGAATAAATAAACATACTACGTCTTAAACGGCCAAAAAAATTCATTTTTATTAGTTAACTAGCTGCAAGGACCCGCTTCGCTGGGTTTTTATTTGTGGGCAAAAAGTAACGATAGTGAAGATTAAGATAATTACATTATAGCCAATCTTACCCGTTTTCACAGAATGCAAGAATTAGGTCCCCCGTTTCCAGACTAATTAGAGAATTTTTACGTCCAGTCAAACGAACTATTTTCAATTTGATCAATTTTCTGGAACGTTTACAATCGTTCTATAATCGAACCAATTCGAGTTTAAATTCGAAAATTTTTAAAATCGAAATAGAAAATCTTCCACTTTCAACCACTTTCAAGCCCATATCTCCCTTGCACCCTTATAGCTATCGAGACGCAATTACCATAGTGCATGAATGGAGACTTGGGGCTACTACCACATACAAACACCATTCATGTATGATGTGTAGTTTTGGCTGAAAAGTGAAATATAGGGACACACATGTCCGTTTATATATATAGATATAGATATAGATAATCAAAACATGATTTCAATATGATTATTTAAAAAAAATAAATAAAATATAACAAAAAATAGCTGTTTGATTAACGACGTAATAAATGGATAGATTTTTCTGTGAAATGGCCTTTATAGATAAATATGTTTTTGGTGTTTAAATTTATCCAAGTGTCCGTTTTATAAGAAATTTCTTTAGATTCTACACTCCTCAAAAGTGAAATCGCAGCACCACGAAGGAATGCGCACAGCCACTTTCGATTTGCAGGACCAAAATTGCAGGACCGGTATGCGTATATCATTTGCTTCGTGGTGTTGCAATTCCACTTTTGAGGAATGTAATTAAAAAGTATTTTTTATACTTCACACTTTCAAGATCGGAATCGACGGAGTCTGAAGAATTTTACCTTCAACATTACTATCGTCTATTATACGACGGACTAATTAAATACTGATTTGTTTGACTTTTGATCTGATTTTCCAAGAATAAATCTTTTTGATTGATTCTTGGAAAATCGGTAAATTATCATTTGTATTCCAGTTAAGTAAATTTACTGTAATTACCGCTTGTTTGTCACCTCCTAAATTACGAAAGTTGTTTTACAGCACTAACACAAAGAGTTCTTTACCTGATTTTCTTGCATTTCACTTCGACTCCAAAAAATTCTCGTTTTGTAACGCTTATGAATTTGCTTTTGCTTTCTTTTGTAATTCATTGCTTGCATGACTGGAAGGGTCGAAGGATATTTGAACAGTGGGCGAGAAAATCCGTTCGTCTGGAAAGAATTCGGTATTGACCAAATAGCACGGAACGAAACGCAGAAAAAAATAAAATTCTTCCTCACCGTATCGCACGGTACGACTCCAAATTCTCTTCTATATGCTAAATAATCAGAAAGTGATAAGAGAAAAGAAGACATGAAGTAGGAAGGGTATCGATTCATCCACCCAGCGCGATAACACATGGGATTCATGGCCATCGATCCCAGATAATAAGTAGCTCTATCCACGACTTGAGCGTGAAGAACCTCGTGTTGCGCCCTGAAGACAAAACAAAAGATTGGTTATTTAGATGCCAAGAGATTATTAAGAAGAAAACACCGTTCTTACCAAGGTATTGAATTTTGTCTATAAAAATAGCGGTCGTTGTTCCACGACATGTTATATACAATGAAGCATTAATATTTTGTTTCAGATTTTCACAAATCTCAATATCCAGTTCAATAATTCAAAAGTAGTTGATTTATTTTGAATCCTTTCGCTTTAAACCTGTCGATAGAATGTAGAGCCGTTTCGTTCCGTTCGGCAACGTTTTAGAAAAGAACGTTTAAATTTGAAAAAGTAACGACGTCTTCGAGTCGAATTTTCTAATAAAATAATTCGATTCGATAATATGAAAAATTCGTAATTATGTTTAAAAATTTAATGTTCTACATTTGATGTATTTAATTTGAAACAGTTTATAACCGATGTCCCAAAAATTCAGTCACCTGATCATGGCTTATACATTAAACTGGAAACGTTAGGGTATATATTTAATATAGGCTACATAAATGCTTCTCAGCAGCCCAAAATGTTTACTAATGAATTATTCTTCCTGTTGAGTTCAGTTGTTATAAGACTATGTCAAATGTTATAAATATATTAATATTTCCAGAAAAATAGCATGAAAATTAAGGTTTCTGAATTTCCCCTATATTCTCTACAACGGGTACCTCCATTTTTGGAAAGGGAAATTTGTGAAAAAGCGGATAAAGCCGTGAACTGTTAATTAATATAAAATTGTAGTCCGTTAAGAATTTCAAATGATTGAAAAAAATTAAATCGGATAAAATATTTTTTAAAAAGAGAAATGAGTTCTAAATTAATCTACAAAAAGTCGTTCTATCCTGTATGTTCTTCTTTGTTCTAATAATATTAATGTTTCCCAATAAAGTTTCAGCAAAAGTTATTCAAATGTCTTTATTTTTTAAAAAGTTATCACGAATTTAATGGATCGTACGAAAAAAAATTAATTGTAAATGAAGAAAAAAGTTTGTAAAATATTTTTGTCCATTATACAATTTAAATTTCATGTTTAATGGAATTAAAAAAAACATAATTGACATATTTCGATTTTGTAAAAACTAAATAACGAAGTTACCGTAATTTTAAAATTCACAAATCCTAAAATTATGAAATGTTTTCTGTATTTACTCGTATCTTAAAAAATATGGCAACATAATATTTCTGAAAATATAAAAATTATATTAAGAATATTTTGTTAAAAACCATTACAATCAAATCATTTCAAAAGTCTTTCAGGTTTTTCTTAAATGTATAATGACGTTTTAATTCGATATGGTTCATAATTTCTATATTTTAATGCAAAATTTGTTTAGAAAAATAAACAATGCTGATACAGCTAGCGATCAAATTTATCAATGTCAGAAAGAAGGAAGAACACAAACCATTTAAAATAACAATAACACTCATTCTTGTTCTTGTTACAATATGAATCTATGAGTACTGTACCAAGTTTTTGACTCTATGGAGGACTTATCACATACTATTGACGTTGTCGGGAACAATCAACACAGAAGTGGGTAGACACAGATTTATTATAACGCATACCGTCGTCACAATAAGCCTGTGTCTACCCACTTCTGTTTGATTGTTCCGACAACTTCTATAGTATGTGATAAGTCCTCCATAGAATCATCCTGATGAAAATAAAACTTTCATCGGAAGGCGCTTTGAGTATGGCACCGATTTCAGTATTTACGGGAACACAAGTTTGTTTCTGCTTTTAATCTGTTCATTTCAGTATGGACTTTTGGAAAACGGGTTTCCTTTTTGGGATTTAATTTAAAAAAGAGAGTGGTAATTTTGGGGCATATAAAAAAAAAACAAAATAAAAGAAGTAAATTAAAAAAGGAAAAGTACCGAAATGACAAAACAGACTTAAAATAATTCTGTTTTGTTATCCCGTTCATTGACATTAAAAACTCGTAGAAAAATTAAAAATACATTTTTGAATTAATTCATACGTTGAAAACTTAAGATTTTTCTATTTAAACCAAATCAATGATTCCAGAGTAATGAAAATTCTTCTAAAGAACATCATTTTTCCTAATTAAAATAAGGTTAAATATACATAAAATAAGGATTTTAGTTAGTTGAAACTTGTTTTTTTTTATATCTACGATTTTAAAATCTTGATAATAGTTAGACTTTAAATACACTGTTCAATTATGCTAATATATACTGGGATCTGTATTATTCGGAATCTCTGGTCTCTAGATGATTAGTCTAACATATGCAAATTTATAGACTGTTTATAAAAACTCCTTTTTAAAGCAAATTATTCACGAAAGAGTAGATTTAATTTTTCCCAAACTATTCAAAACCGATTTTATTGATTTATTTTGAAAAAATAGTTTACTATTTACAATATAATTTATATAAAATTTAAGATAGGAGAGCCCATTATGGTCTATCATGTTTCGAATATTGTTTTGACCAATTCGAATTTTATTTTCTTTTCTTTTTTGAAAAAAATATCTAAGCTATCACCTAGAATCTAGGTGATAACTTAAGTAAATGTCTATTCTAGTTTAATTTTCATAATATGAAAGTTATACAATGGATTGCTGATGCTGTGCTGAGTCTTTAAGATCTGTGAAAATTGCAAGACAAGATAATGGATCTTCTGTGCTTTTTTGTTAAATTATTTTCGTCTTTTTATATTGAAATATTGATTTATCTTTATTCCAACGAGACTCTTTTCAGAATAAAATCAATTACTGTATATTATTATTTTTCTTGTTGTGTTCTTGTTTTTCATGAATCAGAATCAGTGGAGATATAAATTTAAATTTTTTTCCACAAGATGGCCTTAGCTTTGAATCGGAGGCCATTGTTATATTCTGGCCTAGACTTCGTAGCGTCAAAGAAGGCATCTTTGAGCTATTAAGAGTACATTAGAATATTCTACTTCTGTGATAATTATAGAGATTGAAGTAAACTATTAATTGGAATATTATTATTCCTGGAGAAGCCTGAACACAGAGTAATTTGGTCTCTATGTTGTTGCAATTCGATTAGAATTTCCAATGGAAAAGCTACACACTAGTTTTTGGAACTCCATATAGCTTGTTACTGTCGTATGCACTTGTTCCAGTATCTGGCATAACTTCTTGGAAACAAGAACTTTTTGCAATACAATAATTCTAAAATCTTGCTTTTGAATACTCCCATCTTTACTTAGAGTCGCTTTGAATTAATATGGATTAAGTCCGTTAATAAAATTTACTTACGTATATCAATAATTTTACTATAAAAATAAAGATAACTGTGTGACATTTATCTGATATAGCGAAAAGATATATCTATATATATATGATATAAAACCCGTTCAAAACGGAAAGAGTAATTCGGTACCGTGTAATTCCTGTGTACACAGGTTTTCATGTTTCATAATGACGTGGGATAAAACGAACAATTACGTATTGTGTCATCGTCATAATGCAATTTAGCAGTGTCTTTCCTCTGTACATCATACTATTTTTGTTAACAATGAAACCATGGGAGTCATGTATCTAACTCCATTCAAGAGGAAACTTTGAGTTAAAATAACGTGACTTCCAGCCTAAAACGGAAGATTTTATATAGTTAATCGCGAATTATTTCTTTTAAAAGTTGTATATCTGTCAAAACGTTTATCTGTCTAACACCGTTCTCGAGATTAAGGAAGGACAGACAGACAGTAAGACGGACTACAGTGAGAATTTATAGATCTACATTTTTTCAAATTTTAGCCCAATCAGTGGCCTTTAATATGAATCATTTAATACGATGTAAAATTAATACAAAAATTAATATATAAATGATTTTGAATCAGTTTAAAAATTATGTTAATTAATTAAATAATAATCATAAATATATAAATAAGATGTGAATTTGATTGTTATTAGCTTAATACTTTTGTAAATATTACTTTTAAACAATTTAAATATCACTTATTATTATAAATAAAAATAAGAAAATGTTTTTAAAAATTTAGTCATGAATTATTAAGGAAAAAATAATTTATTTTTATAATTATTTGCTAATTTAATATCGTTAATGTAGGGATAAGTAAAAGATCATGAAAGCAGTGACTTGGCCATTGGGAAATAAATTTTTATAAATAATTTGATTAAAACTTTCTAAGAAATAACTAAATTATTCTAATTAAATTAATTTGTTGTTGTTACTTTATAATTAGAGTAATGAATTTAAATTTTTTTGCTATTTCTTTCAGAAAATTTCTAATTTTCTCCTATTAAGGAATTTATTTCACTTCATATTTATCTGAGATTGTATTTGAAATATATAAGCAGAATAAATTGATTGAGGCTAAATTTATATTTAATAGTTTACTATTGATTAATACTCGTGTTAATCGTGATATAGAAGAGTTTGTCGTAATTGCCTTCAGAAAAATACATAAAAACAGATTAACAGAGATTTTTTTTGTAATTAAAATGTAAATAAACATTCTTTTATGTCTGCGACATAATTAATTTAATACTAATTTAGACTCATGTTGGGTTGTTGCGGCGTTTTTTTCAGTATTAACATTCGTTTATGCTTATTTAATTTCTCAAAACACAAGAGTTCAGATTTAGTGTACAAAGATTTTGATGTTAACTCTTATATCAAGTTATAGTCTTATATCGATATAGATACAGAGCACGTACACACTACACAAACAACTACACACATATACACAGAGAAGAGGAGAAATATTTATTTGATATTCCGTAATAACTGCTTTGAATGATCACTAATAAATTTTAAATTATTTTTTTAATTTAACTTTTTAGATATTTTTAAATATGAATTTATCGTCACTCGATTTAACTAATAATACTTTTGACTAACAAACACGCTGATTGACACCAATAAAAAAATAATATCTCAGCATTTATTTGTTTCACTTTAATACTTGATACTTTAAAATAAGAATAAATCATAAGAAAGAATGATTTACATCATTATTTTTTATCGCTCATTTGTATTTTATATTATCAAGTATCATTTGTTGAACATTGTTGTCTTTATTTCAAGTAAGGATTCAATAATTATTCTCAAAATAATAACAAGGATAACGATCTTGTTCTTGAAACTAAACTTATTTGTGAGATAAACTTTGAATATTTTATTAAGAATTAAAACTATTGAGTTGGAATAAACGGCTAAATATATTAAGAATGTGAAATAAAGACAATAAGAATATAAAAATTGTTCAAAAATTGTAACAACATCTAACTAGGGATCGATTTTTATATCCAGATCGGATTTTACAACTCGTGTGTTTGTGACAATCTGA